TTGAATAGGCCCTGGAGATCAATATCTCCAAGGCTGGTTTTCCTTGGAATCTTGTTCAGAATATTTGTTTCATAATTGTTTATATAATCATCTTCTAGAAGAAGATAGATTTCTTTTTCTCAAATCTCGTGACGACGTGGCGTTTTCGTACGCCGCGTCGAATTTTTCTTCTCCTGTTTGTTCCTCTGACTCGGGCGACATCTAGTCGTCCCGAGAAAAGCGGCGTGTCAGCGGGCGACATCTGTTCGACCCGTGACATGCATGTTGCTTTTCTTCTTCTTGCCTACGAGCAAAAAAATAATCACTTCAGTGAAATGAAATGGATGAGATTAACAAAATATCCAGATGGTGGAAGTAATTGAAACCGAAAAATTTACAAAAGATTATACATATAGGGCGCGTTTTCAAAAATGAAACCATATATTAAAAAAAAAAAGTAATTGTATATAAGCGTGATAGAACTGAAAATGCGGGAAGAAAAACTGTGTCAGGGTGTAGATTATATATACAGTATAAGAGTGTATAATCATGAATATTCCAACAAACAACCGCCTCCCACCGAAAACGCTGATAAGAGAGAAAGATGAAGCACGTTACCAGCATTCTCTCCTCTTCAAGTATTGGGATTCCTCATTTGCATATCTGCACGAGTTGCCGTAACGTCAGTCCGAAGAAAAACGAAAATTTGCACACATTTCGTAAAGTTTGACGCAAAAATTTGAGCAAAATTCTGCATACAGACAAGCTTCATTTTCTAGGAATTGCTGCACCATTAAGTAGTTTTAGATTTATCATCTTTCCAGGCGAAAACTGGGCAATTTAATTAAATTTTCAAGAAATTTCTTCTTTGACATCCATTGGATGAAATGCAATTTTAAAATGGTCGGCATTCATCAATAATATTCGGGTGATCCCAGTAATTTGTTTTTTTTTTTGTTTGGTTATACTGCATTTCCAATGTGTAATTTTTTTAAAGGAGAGGGGAAACTGAAAACGCATGTAAGAAAAATTTTAAAAATTCAATTTTTTTACTTTCTGAAGAATTGAAGGGATACGCAACTTTTTGAGTGCCCCAAAATCGTATTCTTCACTTTACGAGGAGCATTTTGTCAAACAATTTTTACTCCTGACGTATCAAACGCAATTTTTTTCGATTTTAAACCTAGAACTTCAAATTTTTTCTCCAGATTGAAGGAATGAAGAAATCACATCATTTTCTTTCGAAGAATTGAAGTAAATATGGAACTTTTTGAGTGCCAATTTTTTTTATGATGATATAAAATGTATGCATGTAATGGATTTATCTTCCAATATATCACGTTATTGACATCGATTTAAGTGTGTCTTTCTTGAATATTTCAAGAACATCGTACATACAACAATGCGTCGGAGTTTTTTTTTTTTTTTTGCAGACATCCTGTATAAGTTTTTGGGAGGATCCTGAACCGACACTAGAAGGACATTTTGTGCGTATCTTTCAGAGCACAGCAGGGAAAAGCGCTGGCGAACAAACAATAAGGACACTGAAGGCAAAATTTTTTGTTCTTAATTCGAAAGTGCAGTGAAATAGTGAAATTGCAAAAAGCACCGCGGGAGTGATTTTAAATTTGAGAAAAAACTGCCCTATGTTTAAAACAGGTAAAAGAGACCTGGAGCATTTTCCGGGATTGAGATAATTTACAATAAGTTTATTTTTCACGAGTCAAATAAAATTTGGTCTCCTTTGTTGATTACATTGATTTCAGATTTTTGAAATTTAGCGCAGATGCGTTTCAAAGCAGTTTAAAAATGTCAACGGCGAAATTAAAAAAAAAATCTAAAGTTTTCAGGAATACTTTCGATTTTCCATTGATATGAGCCAAATTTCACGAATAATCGATATTTTCTTTGTATAATTCGATATTTTTTTACCCGTACGATATTGAGACGAACTAAAATCCCCTTTTAAATGTTTTGGTTTTATAAAAAGCAACATGCATATATTTTAGCATAAATAGAAAATATACATAAAATATTACTGAACAATTTTGCAGAAATTTGAAACTCTCGTCGCAAAACGAAAAGAGAGTAAAAAAGCAGTGGTTCATTTAGATTGAGGTATACTAAAATTTTCTTCAATTTGAACATATTGCCCATTTTGCTTCACTTAAAAACTCGATCATTCCAGAAATGCTGAACTTCGCAATTCTTTTCCATTTGAATTGGAAATTGACTCGTCTGGAACTTCACAATACTCTCGAACCATTTATGATTAATTTTTTGATCACGGCGAACATTTTTGTTTAGTTTTTGGGACAGAATTGAACGGTTACTTAGAAGGAAATTGGACAATAATCCAATGTTTGAATTCCATCAAGTCCGACATGAAATATGAAGTGGGTAATGTGCTCATTTTTAGCTGTTTCTTTAATAATCAACCCGAGCGGAATTTTGTCCTCAGAAGAGGAACTTTTAGCAATAAGTTCTTGTAAATCTTTTTTTAAAAAAGTGTTAAAAATTGAATGTACAGGAAAACCCTTCTACACTCTCGGGAAAGTTTTAATCGAATTGCAATTTGAATGCTTTCATGACGAACGTTTGAAAAAAAAATCTAGGGAATTTAAAATTGCATGATGATCGTCCTGCACGCGTCAGATATTTGGAAACTGTTGATCAAAATGTCCTTGCTTGGAATTGTAACATTCAGCACATTTTACGTTTACGGGTTGCATTCTGATTCGGATGTGGAATTTAATGTCTCGAACGGTGATTTTCTTTTAGACCAACGATCCAGGAGAACGCAAGGTGGTGAAAATTGAAATGATCCGAAAATTTGCCAGGATTTGAACCACGTTTTCGAATTTTTTACATTTTCTTTGCAGTATTAGAAACGGAGTTCCTGAAACATGTTCTTCTTCAAACAAAGTACAGCAGGAAGGAAATCGCCTGTGAGCTGAAGAAAGTCGGAAATTTGTGAGTCATAAAATCTTTGTTACAAAAATTCTGAGAACAAAACACAACATTTTTTTTTAGTTTTGAGCATTTGAGATTTTTCTCATACTTTGCATTATTGGTAGTAAAGGTGGTACCCTGAAATTCAACCCGAAACTCTTGCCAAACTAGGGTCAAATTGCAAAGTGGTCAAATTGTGAGACACTTCAAAAAATTGCAGTGCAAAAACGCAAAAAAATGGCCCAAGCAGGTTAAAATTGCTTTGCAAGGGTGAAATTGTATGTCAACCTCCGTGCAGATTTTACCGTCAAATTTTGGCATGGTCAAATTGTGTGAGGTGAAATTGTGAGGTAACATCGGTACTTCAATTTAAATAATTAATGGATGCTCCTAATTGTCGATTCACCACATAAATTGGTTGAGGTAACAATATCTGATCTAGAAAATATTTGCCAATTTCAGTATCGTGAAAGAAGATTCACGATGGGTGCAAAACGTGTTCCCAAGTTGGCAAAATTTGCAAATCGATTCCGAAAGTTTTCTCGGAGGCAAACGATTCAATTCTTGCGCTTTGGTGTCAAACTCTGGCGCAATTCGACAATCCAACCATGGTCACGAAATTGGTAAAAAAAATAATCATGTTTTCAATTCGAGAAATATATCCAACTAAATTTTTTTTCTCTTCTTTGCTACAGATAAACACGATCTGATTGTGAGGATGAACAAAGCTCCAACAAAGGGATTCGAAGTCGATGTTGGATCCAGGGCAGCAGACTTGAGAGTCATCAATAATCAAGTTGTAGATGCAAAAAAGCATTCTTTGAAAGATATGGAAAAATTGCTAGTTTCCCTGGATGGAAGCAGCCATGTTGGAACAGATTACATCATTTGGGATCATTGTCAATGCTGCGGAATCCGCGACTTTGAATTTGTAAGCCTGCATTTTTTAGGGCCCGCTGAGACATGATTTTTTTTTTAATCTGGGTAAATATGTGCCAAATAGTCGCACAATGTTCTTGAAAGCTTTTATATGTAAGAACTTCTTCTTCATACTTGTTTTTATCATTTCCCAATTTCTATAGTGAAGAAACACTGTTTGCAACTTTTGTTTTTGATGCCACACTATTCAAAGTGATCAGCATTTTTACTATGTGATCAGAAAAGTTGCTATGACGGGGGTTTGGAACTAAAATATCCCTAGAGTTGCCAATTTCAGCAATAAAGTATGATTATAATTTGGCCTGGAGCAATTTTTGTGAAGAAGAATACACTCATGTTCAAGAATGGAAATATTTTACCAAAATTTTACGAAGATTTGATTTAAAACTTGGAATTTTTTTTAAATCAAGGCAGAAAAGAGTTGAGGTTTTCCTTCTTTTTGTTTTTGCAAATTTGTAAATTTCGGAGCGTCAAGCGCTCAAAGTTGGCAGGATTACCTCGATTGTAAACTCAAGAGTCTATAATTCTAGATTTCATAAATTTGTGCTTGAGTCAGGTAAGCAATGGATGAACTTCTTTTGAAATAAGCTGAAAAAAATTCACACCGCATCCAATATTTTCATAACTGAAATTCGAGTGAATCCTTGACTTCATGGAAGCTCATTCTTCAGAATTTTTGGACAATCAAATCATTCAAAAAAATTCTGAAGTTGATACGCTCTTCTTGCATGAAACCAAAGGCTTCTTTTGCAATCACGAAACAGAACGTTTAATGTCAGTTATTCACTGATGGAAAATTTTCCGACTTGACCCTTTTTTTTTCACTATATAGTGCTTTTCAGGCCCAGGGAAAACTCGAATCGATCTGACAAAGAAGTTAACTTACGATGGACTGGGATATTTCCTGAAAGCAAAATCCGCTGGCAAAGGAAAACATTTATTCTTGCTGGACTTTGATTTTTTGTGGAACGTTTGGGGCGTTTTGCAAAAATTCTATCCTGAAGAAATAACCCAACATAGTCCTTCTTCCGGTTTCTTCACTGGTGAGTAGAAAACTTGGAATGCAGGTGAAATTAACTTACAACAAACTTTTTCATTTGTCAAGAACAGGAACACCTCAAGAGACGATTATGCTAAAATAGAAAATTATTTTTTCAAGATTAATAACAGTACTGTAAGTTGATTTTGAGCATGCTTTTGTTCTTTTCTATCTATTCCCATGCTTTGATTGGAATTCATTAACTCGATTTCAAAGTTTCCATTTTGCTTTCAGAAAGAGTGATTCTGAGTTAGTAAGTTATACCAATACGTTGGTATAGTGCCAAGAATTTTTAATCAAAATAAAAAAGCAGATTACTCCTATAGGCATATTTTGTCAAGATTTATAGAGGTAGAATCATACTTTTGATATGAAACAATTTTTTTTTGGGCGAAAACTGAAGTGAATTAATACCCTTAGTTGAAAAAAAAAATTGAAGATTTCTGAATTATTTTCAAACAATTCGAGTACTTTCAAGCTCTTATATGGTTGGTACCAGGTTCTGAACAGAAGTGCTCGAAAATGAGGAGGAAAGGGTTTCAGGAAACCTATCCTTCAAGGTTATGGAATATTCCAGTTAAGATATGGCCTTAAATACTTAATTTCCATTTCCAAAAGGTTTCAGTTTCTAAAGATAAAGTTTTATGAACACTAGATGTTTTTGTAGTTTATTCTCTTTCTTGTGGGAGTTGGGATGAAGCCCAATTTGCATGACAGCATTCAAGGAAAAGTTTTGGCAGAGACCAAAACTTGTCCTCATTTGGTGGTGGAACCAATTTAACCCTTGCACAGCAAAGTCTGGATATTTTTGAAAAAGTTTGTCCCTATGAGGGCTGCAAATAAAATAAAAAAATACAAATTTTGAATCAAGGCCCTGATAGAAAAAGTCTGATTTTTTTATAATCCTGCAAAAAATGTTGCCTCAAAAGAAAATTTATCCCTGGGTGGCATTTTTTATGCATTTCCTGCATAGGCTTAACATTGGAGATTTCTTGAGACAATGGTGTTGGCAATTTGAAATAGGGTAATAGACTTCTGGACAGACTAGAATGGCAGCGCCAACATCAATACCTAAATATGTGCAGAATCCCATATGAGACCAAGTTTGACCTTGAGTTTCCACAAGAGCTTGAATTCTTGGGGAAATCCTGAAAAAGGGGGTAATTCCATTCAGGGACAAAATTTTGCAAAATGAAAGAATTTAAATACCAAATAGATAGCATGTTCCATCATCAAATGTTCTGGGCTTGTCTCATCATGCAAAAGACTGTTGCTGTTTTTCAATCTGCTGTTGGTCAAAATCTTGCATTCTATACAAAAATATACCAACCTTACACTAGGGTGTAAAGCACCTCGGCCTCACCCCGGCTGATTGTTCCTTGAATTTAAATCAAAGAGAGAAGGTTTAAATTCAAAGATTCAATTTCCTTCAAATCTGTTCCTAAGAAATAGGATTTTCTGCACCCAGATTTTTCCAACTTAGACCTTGGTAACCTGGGGGCATTTCAGTGACCTTTGGTGAATCTGAAATGCCCTTTGACCTTTGGTCAAACTGAAATGCCCCTTGCCCTTTAAAAAATCTTGGCTTTGCAGCAGAACAGCCAGGAACCCTCTTCCATCGAAGGGATAATGCTATTACTGTAATTCCTTGGAAACCTCAAGTTTGGGGAGACAACCAGAGCTTGATAAATTAGCTACTTCCACAGAAACACTGACTATACAATTGCAACATATTTGTTTAATTATTTCAACTGGTAAAACTGTACAATTTCTATGGACTGCAAAATTTTTTCTGCACACAGAAAAAAAAAACTGCGTTAGAAGAAATAAATTTCCGATTTCAGAGAAAGATTAGTCCATTTTTTCTCTATTGTGCTTCAAAAGGCCCTCGAGGTTTGTTGTAACACGATTTCACCTTTATCTGGATTATATATATATATATATATATATATATATTTATATTAATTTTGTGATAAACATTTTCAGTCGTCGGTTTGATGCAGATCTGCTCAAGGATAACGGCTTTCGAATTCATCCCATCCGTCCGAAGTTCGAACGATAAATCAGCTTGTCATTACTACGAAAATGTGCTGAAATGTGACAAATATGAAAAAGGAGTTTGGCATCCATTTGAAGCGGAAAGATCTCTTTTGTACCAACTGAACATCGCTGAAAAGTCGCGAGTGTTTTTGGACGGAGTTCTGGAAATCCCGGGTCTGAGTGCATATGATTGCGAATGTTGAAAATGTTTTACGGGTTTTTGTATACAGTGTGATAAGATATGATTTGAAAAGAGTGGATTTGATAAATGCTCAAAAACAGTGGACAGGCAAGAAAATATGGCTTTGTGATTTCCATAAAATTGGAACGATGGATTTACTTCATTTTCAGATGGTTATTTCACTGATTCAAGTAGAATTTTCTTTAAAACGAGTCTCATTGCATTAAATTACAGTCAACCCCCGTCTAATGAACTTGATTCGTGCAACAGGCAAGTCTGTTGGACGAAAAGTCCTTTACATGAATTCAATTGTATAAAAAATTAAAAATTACAATTTTCAACACTAATTTTGAACCAAAAGAAGTCTGTTTGGTGGATTTTGTCTGTTGGGCAGGAGGAAAAACTGCCTGTTTAGAGCTGGTCTGTTTGGCAAAAATCCCTTAGACAGGAGGTCTGTTAGGCGGGTGGCCACTGTATATTCCTTACAACAAATTCGTTTTTAGGCCATTGCCCAATAGATACCATTTTGATTGGATTTAAGAATAAGGGTTTGTTATGTTATAATGAATCTTATTTCCGAATCCCCATCATGCCTTGGTTTTAAGAAGAGTTCACTCCTTCGCCAAAATTTTGGATGAGCATGGTGGGAACATCCATCTTTATTCAATTAAATTTAATTTATATTACTAATGAATTATGCAAGAATTATTTTTCCTTCTTCACTGTATATATACGTGTCAAATTCTTGCAAAAATTATATACGTATGGTGTTTGATTAGTTCTTTTTTCACCTTTTGGGACCTGTGAAACATCTTGTTTGCAACAACTTTCAGTGTCTTGTTTTTGGCACAAATTTCCTTTATAAATACTTGAATGAGGTATATGTATTTCAGACTTGCGTGCCAATGTAAATTGGTGCCTTGAAAGGCACCAAGTTGCCCACCAAGGCACCAGTTGCCTTGAAAGGCCAAAAAACTCTGGTTGTAAAATATAAAAAAAAACCATTAAATACGAATCAAAGCAAATGCAATTGTGAGCAGAGCAGAACATCATTTAAAAGATGCAAAAATTCAGCAAAACAAGGAACCATTGTGAAATATCTTGAGGTATACTTCCAATATAAGAATGGGTCCTTTACTCCTTTGTAATTCCTTATGAACCTAAGAATTGGAAGTTACTGGAAAAGTATGGCCCCCCATTTCCAGAATACCCTTTTACTGCCAGAAAAATGTTTAGGGGTCTAAGGGTCTAAAGCCATGGCTTGAGGAATTATAAAATGATTATAAAATTTCATTTTAAAATATCCAACTTTTTGCCCACTTGGGCCTTAATTGGTTCAAAACTCTAGTTTTTTTTTTAATTTTCAATGCTTTTGGGGACAATATTTTGTGAAAATATCCTACACTGTGCCACACAAATAACGTACTGTATATTGAATTTTTATTTTATTTTATACAACCATCCCACATTTATGCACATGCATCCAGTCTGAGAAGTAATTATTGCACATCAATGTCCCTTCGGGTCTCACAGTATACAGTACACTACTATGAAGTTTATGAACAAAACATATGTGTTTACCGGAAAATTAATGCATATATGATGAGCTACATCATCGTGTCTGTATGTCCGGCCTTTTTTATGCCCTTTTTACTGAAAAATAAATGCCCGTATGTCAAATTATCCTCATGTCGAGGTGTCTGCATTTGAGGGCCTGAATGTACTTCAAAAAACTAACAACGGAATTTAAGCTGTGATGAATTTTGGGGTCAGCAATTATTTATTTAGCAGTTGTTCACCTATCGAAGCTTTTGTTGACATTTTCTCTATATAGTCTAATTTTTAGCGCAACGCACTTGATGGAGTTTTGTTAATCTTGTTTCGTTTTCTTGGAACTCAATTCGATGCTTGATTAATTCAGTACTTCAAAATGGCAAGAAAGTGACCTACTTACACGTTTTCTCGTGGTTATTTTTTTCTGTATGGCGTACGTGTTGCTTTGTAGTACTTGGAGTACTTCAGTAGGAAAGGTGGATTCGACAGCTTCAAGAAAGCAACAGTTCTAAAGTTCGTAAGTATTTGTTCAGAGCTGTGAAATACTTCAAAAACGATTCAGAAAACTGTGGTAGATAATAACATACTTATTTACCTCCAGAACTTCTAAAATTAAAAAAACTCTGATAATTTCTTCCCGGTTTGTATTAAATCTGGAAAACGTTTCTTGGTTTGATAGTATTTGCTGAGTGAGACCCCAAGATGTGGACTTAATTGGTGCATCAAAAGTGTCACTAATTGAAAATATCCCTAAGTCAAGCCTCATTTTCCTTCAAAATTACATTATACAGTATAGTTTTAATTGGTGTTTTATGGACAAAATACCCACCATAATTCCAAGAAAAGAAAAATTGTCTCCCAATTTAAACGGATTAAATCACTAAATTTCAAAACAATATGGACATTTGGGGAATTCAATACTGATACATCTGTACAGTAAATAGAAATGTTTGCATCCCCTGTAAAAATAAAATTCAAGTAAAAAGAGAGAAGGAAGTCCATCTAATATATGCTGGAGGGGGTAATTTTTTAAATTAGCTAAATGGATGGTAAATTGGTGAGAGAAATACCACTTTTCTCACATTAATTTTAGGGTTGGAAATCTCTGTTTCTTGTAATTTGGACTGAAACTTCTTTGCAATTTTGTCCTAAAATGTCCTTATGTTGAGTGAGTGTCCTCATGTTGGGTCTTTTTTATTATCTGTATATAGTTTTCCTGCTCTGTTTTCTTGTCAGCTGTTTTTTTCACTTTATACTTCGATAGAACATAAGACATTTCAATAATTCCCCTCATGATTCCATTGTTTGTTTGTATACAGTCAGTATAAAGGGTAGCTCATATAAACAACCATTGTACAAAAGTAGGTGGACATGATTTTATTGTTTTGAAGATTTGCCAAGGTGGTTGCTGTGGAAGTGGTGGAGGAAGATGATGGTGAGCCAAGTGGTTGTGGTGGAATTTGTTCAGCATTTGGTTGGCAAATGTGGGATGGCTGTTCTGCATTGTCCTGCACATCCTGAGGAAGAGGGTACAGTACTCACCATATCCAGAAGGTGGAATGGTGTACCTTGTACCCATTTGGCAGCAACAGTTTGATTGGAGGGTTACCCATGTGGCATGTTGTGAAGATGAGAGATTTTTCAATTGATTCTTTGGAAACAAAAATTCAAGTCTCACCTTTAGGTTCACTTTTTTTTTGAAAAACTGTTGGATTTGTTCCAGTTTTATCACTTAGAGAACCTTACTAGCTACCAATTTTGTTGTGGGTCCTTAAGACTCCACAACAGAAGAAAAAATAAAGAAGAGTGGAAATATAACTTTAATCCACATAAGCCGTTTGCTGCTGTGGCTGAGCCTCAAGATAGTTATGTTGTTCTCCAAAATATTGTGCAAGCACAAAAATGCACACTAGATTTTCAGTAATTTTGGAGCACTTTTCAGGCAAACGTTGCACACGATCATTTGGCTCAGAGTGATTCCTTTGGTCGTTTTTTTTGGCAGCTTCTTTTGGTTGGGGATTTCAGGTAATTGGTTTTTGCAAAACTAGTTCCTGAAATCCCTCTCTCAAGGTTGTTTGATCGGCCAATGAGAACTTCTGTTTTCTGTCGTTCAAGTTGTTTCGTTTTGCAGGTTTTGTGATCATCATTATTCCACTCCAACATGGGAGATGCTGCCTGGTGACATCTGATTGGGCTCCAATAGTCTGGAACTTCATAACAATACCCTGGAACCATTTATGAACCAATTATTTTTGATCGCCGTAAAAAATGTTTGATTAATGTTTGGGACTGAATTGAATGGTTATTCTAGGAAATTTAAACGGAAATCTAACGTTTTAATTTCATCAACTACTCCAAAAGGAAATATGATGTGGGTAATGCACTCGTCATATTCAGTTATTTCTTCATTAATCAACCCCAGCGGAATATTCTGTTCAGAAGAGGACTTTTTGCCAATTTCATCTCACTTTTGCAGATAAATCTATAAAAAGTGATAAAAATCGAATGTACATGAAAACCCTTTTAAAAACTTTGGAAAGTTTTAATTGAATTGCAATTTGAATGCTTTCAGAACGCGCGTTCGAAAAAAAAATCTAGGGAATTTAAAATTGCATGATGATCGTCATGCGCACGTCAGATATTCGGAAACTGTGGATCAAAATTTGCTTCCTTGGAATTGTAACATTCAGCACATTTTACGTTTACGGGTTGCATTCTGTTCCGGATGTGGAATTAAATATCTCAAAGGGTGATTTACTTTCAGAAGAACGATCCAGGAAAGCGCAAGGTGGTGAAAATTGAAATGATCCAAAAATTTGGAAGGATTTAAACCAAGTTTTCGAATTTTTAACATTTTTTTGCAGAATTAGAAACGGAGTTCCTGAAGCATGTTCTTCTTCAAAAGAAGTACAACAGGAAGGAAATCGCCTGTGAGCTGAAGAAAGTCGGAAATTTGTGAGTCAGGAAATTTTTAATGCAAAAATTCTCAGGACAAAACATGTCATTTTCTCAAGTTTTGAACATTTGAGGTTTTTCTTCAATTTTGCAGAATTCGTAGTACAGGTGATACCTTGCAAATCAATCCTAAACAATTGTCAAACCTCGGTCAAATTGTGAGACACTTCATAAAATTCAAAAACGTCACTGAAAATACATGAAAAGGGCCAAAGCAGGTCACATTGCTTGGCAAGGATTAAATTGTGCGTCAACTACCCTGCAAATTTGACCATCAAATTCTGGGATGGTTCAATTGTGGTGGGTCAAATTGTGAGGTGTATCACCTGTACTTCAATTGAAATAAATAATGGATGCTTGAAATTGAATTGAAGAGCAAGCTTTCTTTTCCACTTTCCAGCATTTTCAAAGTTCAAACAACATTCCATGCACATCTATACCTAATTTGAATTCAGTGTTTTCATTTGGGAATAGTTAAGGATTTCCCCAAACAAATAGTTTTTATGAATAAAACACCACAATCAGCCTGGGACTGGCTAAAGCCTCTTTATAGTGGCTCCAAGAAATTCATATGTATTCATTTACCAAAAGAATCAAGACACCCAATAATTCACGCAATTTCTCAGAGAATTGGTTCAAGCAGTGGAAGCTAAGAATGGGGATGAGATGCTGAATGAGAATATGCTATTGATCTCAACTTTTTGAGGCTTCTTTACATTATTGAGGAAGGGGTTTTTTAACCCCTTCCTCAATAATGTATTTCTGACTGGGTAAGAAGGGTAAAATTGAAGACAATGTGCAGCATTGTTGTACAAGTTTTGAAGGTTTTGGGGGCAAGTTCTCTGGTGTTCTGAGGCTCCAGGATTGAAGCAATGGTTTTTGGGATGCTGGTGATGGTTAAATAATATAATTTAACTGCAGCAACGGAAACAATTTTCCAGATTTCTTCTTGCCATTTGGTTAAAATAATATGAAAAATTGGTCTACGAGTTTAAATTCCCATAGTCATCCTGGCAAGTGAGTGGAATGCTTCATTCATCATTGGAAAATTGCTTTAAAATTTTAAAAATTTAAACTAGAGGAATATCGGAGCATTATTTGAAGCAAAATGTTATTTGATGTAACAATAAATGATCTAGAAAATATTTCCCAATTTCAGTATCGTAAAAGAAAATTCACGATGGGTGCAAAACGTGTTCCCAAGTTGGCAAAAGTTGCAACTTGATACTGAAAGTTTTCTCGGAGGCAAACGATTCAATTCTTGCGCTTTGGTGTCAAACTCTGGCGCAATTCGACAATCCAACCATGGTCACGAAATTGGTAGACAAAAAATCATTTTTTCAATTGGAAAAATATATCCAACTACATTTTGTTGTCTCTTCTTTGCTACAGACAAACACGATCTGATTGTGAGGATGAACAGAGCTCCAACAAAGGGATTCGAAGTTGATGTTGGATCCAGGCCAGCAGACTTGAGAGTCATCAATAGTCAAGTCGTGAACGCAAAAAAGCTTTCCTTGGAAAATGTGGAAAAATTACTAGTTTCCCTGGATGGAAGCAGCCATGTTGGAACAGATTACATCATTTGGGATTATTGTCAATGCTGCGGAATCCGCGATTTTGAATTTGTAAGCCTGCATTTTTTGAGGCTCTGAGACATATACACTGTATTTTTTTAAATCTAGTTATATATGAGTCAAATAATTGCCCAATTTCTTGAAAATTTAACCGAGCCAGTAAAAGGGTCTCCTCTGAGCCTGTTTTCTTTTTTCATTTCCCAATTTCTTCCAGTAAATTTTTTGTAAATTTACTCGGTTCGTAATGAAGAAACTTTTTTTGCAACTTTTTTTTCATGCCACACTATTCAAAGTGATCAGCGTTTTTACTATGTGATCAGAAACATCGCTATGTAACAGGGGTTCAGAACAGCAATATCTAGCGTTGCCAACTTCAACAATAATGTATACTTGAATGATGACAATTTCGTTGAAAAAGAATGGACTCATGCGAAATATTTTACCAAAATATACCTAAACTTCAGGATGATTCAATTTTAAACTTTGTATTTTTTCAAATCAAGGCAAAAAATAGAAAAGAAGAGTGGAGGTTTTTGTTCTTTTTTTCTAAAAATTTATAAATTTCGGACTGTCAAGCGCTCAAAGTTGGCAGGATTACCTCAATTGTAAATTCAAGAGTCTATTATTCTAGATTTCTTAAATTTGTGCTTCAGTCAGGTAAGCAATGGATGACCTTTTGAAATACGCTGGAAAATTTTCACATTGCATAGAGTATTTTCATAACTGAATTCGAGTGAAGCCTTGACTTCATGGAAGCTCATTGCTTAGAGTTTTTGAAAAATCAAATCATTCAAGAAATTCTGAAGTTCATAAGCTCTTCTTGCACAAAACCAAAGGTTTCTTTTGCAATCACAAAACACAACGTTGTGAGTCATTCCCTGATGGAAAATTTTCTGACTTGACCCTTGATTTGAATGTAGTGCTTCTCAGGCCCAGGGAAAGCTCGAATCGATATGGAAAATAAGCCAACTACCGATGGACTGGGATATTTCCTGAAAGCAAAATCCGCTGGCAAAGGAAAACATTTATTCTTGCTGGACTTTGATTTTTTGTGGAACGTTTGGGGCGTTTTGCAAAAATTCTATCCTGAAAAAATAACCCAGAATACTCCTTCCACTGGATTCATCACTGGTGAGTTGAAAACTTTGAAGGCAGGTGAAATTTCCGTACAAAAAACGTTTTTCAATTGTCAAGAACAAGAACACCTTATGAGACAATAATGTTAAAATAGAAAAACGTTTTCAAGATTAATAACAGTAAGTTGATTTTCAGCATGCATGCTTTTGATCTTCTCTATCTATTTCCATGCTTTAATCAGAATTTATTTACTTTGCTTCCAAGCTTCTATTTGGCTTTCAGAAAGATAAGTGATTCTGAATTACTTTATTACAATGAAATCTCATTACAACATTATCCTAACCTGACGGCCCCTGAAGTCTGTTTTTTGAAGGATTCAAATTCTACAAAAACTGACTTTGGGGGTGATTAGGTCAAGTTATGTTGGGTCAGGTTATGTAAGTAAAAATACAGTTTTTTTAACTGATTTTCTGTGCAACATCATTTGGGCCAACGTTGCACAGTAATACACCATGCAGGATTAAGACTGTAACGTTTTACAGTAAAATAATTTGCACAGTTAAAAGAGCTGTGCAACATTAGGGCTGTAATGTCACACAGTGAAATCCTGTGCAACATTAAAGCCCAAATGTTGTACAACAAAAAAGCTGTGAACCATTAGGATTGTAACATTGCACACTGAAATACTGTGCAATGTTACAGCCCTAATGTCCCACAGTGAAAAAAGCTGTGCAACATTACAGTCTTAATGTTGTGCAGTAAAATATTTTGAAAATTGAAAAAATTGACACAGTGGAGCATTAAAAAGCAAGGATTTTCACTGATTCTTGTTGCTCTTGGATTCCCAAGTTCCAAGTTGGCACTGTACTTCCAGCCTCCTGAAACTTGTTCAATAAATTTATCAGGATACATTTATTTTATGACCAACAAATAATTGGAGAACTACCTTTCTACATGCTAGCACACAGGCAGCATGCTCAAGTTGGGAGCTGTCCACAACTTCCTTTGCAACAAAATACAGCTCCCTCAGGGAGCTGTGCCAGTCTTGAATAGCTGGCACATGGCTGCCAAACACATTTGTCCCCCCCCCCCTCGTTCTCACCTTTCCTGCCAAGCTGGTCAGATTTGGAGCTATGTTCAACTAGACAGCTACCTAAGCATTTATTCTCAGCTGCCAACTAACTGGAAAAAACAAAAAAACTCCAGATGCAACTGCTACAGTCAACATTGGAATGTTGACTGTAGCAGTTGCATCTGGAGTTTTTTTGTTTT